TGTGTTTAAAACTAAGGAATATATGAAGTTTGTGTTTGAACCTGCTCCTGCGGGAGGCTGTTCCATAATGGAATGACCATGGGTAAAGAACCAGTGACGAACTCGGGTGCGGGGCCGAGGCTTAAACAACTTTTTGCTGTGACCACGAAGACTATGTAAGCTACATAGGGTGAAAAACTGGTTAGCTGTGTCCGTGGAGAATAAATGGTAAAGAATAAAAATGTCCGCTCTAATGCGGTGAGTGTCTAAGGGGTAAAGGTTCAGTATGGTGAGGCGGACGGGGTATGGAACATGGAAAAGACCTGAGACTAGGTTTGTGGTTGCTCGCTGAACTTGTTCGAGGGAGTTACAATCATCCACAAGCCCAGAGCACGCGATCTGGGCTCCGTATTCTCATAGCGGTCTTACATAAGTGCAACATAAGAGTTGAAAGTCTTCTTTATCAAAGCGAGGGAAGGAGCGCTTGATAAAGTTTAGTATTCCAAAAGCCTTTCTTCGGGCCTTTTGGTGGTGTCAAGAAAAGGATAGAGAGTTAGACAACCAGAAGCCAAGGATCTTATGATGGTTGACAGTCTGAAGTTGGGATGTGTTGCAAACATTGAAGGTGTGCGCGCAGCCCCTGCCAAAGGACATACTTACACATTTGTCATCATTTATTGGTAGGCTCCAGCCTGATGACCACGCCAGGATCGAAGCTGTGTTGAAAGGGAGAAGGAAGGTTGTTTTCCTTCAGATGTTCAATAATGTGTCTCTTAATGAGACGTTCAAAAATTTTGCTGGGGACGCTAGTTAGCTTTATCGGTCTGCATCTGCTAGCGTGATGCCGAAGTCCCTTTTTGTAGATCGGTGATATGATAGCCTTTTTCCAGGCCTCAGGGAATTCACCTTTATCCAAGCAGTTCTGAAACAACCGCCCGTAATGTGGGGCTAGCACGGGTGCTGTCTGGGATGGACCTCGTCTGGACCCATTGAGCTATAAGGGTTTAATGACTTTAGAAGTTTGAGTACTTTTTCAGTCTGAACAATGAAGTGTTCAAGAGGGGCTATATCTGACTAAAGCTCTAGAGCAGGAAAGAAAGTAGGTGGGGCGGAGTTTGAACTATCTCGGAAGTGTCTTCGGAACGTATCTGCTACCTTTTCGGGTGAGGTAATTGGGGAGCCGTCAGGAAGTTTCAGGGCTAGAGTAGAAGAACTGGGTTGCCTTTTATGACGAAGAAGTTTGAAGAGGCAGGAGGGGTTTCTTCTTGCCCTGACTAAGATATCTTTCTGTTGCCGGTTGAAAAATTCCCTGATCCTGCTCTTGCATAGGTTCCAGATATGTTTGAATTTATCCGCGTCACTATCCAAGTTAGTGAGCTTGTACCTTGCGAAGAGGACGTTCCGTGTATCCAGAAGTCGACGTATTGAAAGTGGAAGAGGAGGGCAGCTTTTGGTTGGGGCGAATATCTTTGGAACGAACAAGCAGTCGCCCGTTCGGAGTACGTTCTGAATTTGATCATTGAATTCGTTTGTTTCTGAAGATAAGTTAACAAAAGCCAGATTTGCTACCAAGTAATCACTTAGGGCAGCGAAGTTGGCTTGCTTGAAGGACCGCAAGGTTCTTGGTGGCGACTTATAAGAGGGCCAACGAAATATGGAGTCAAAGCTCAGTAGAGAGTGGTCACTCTTATCAAGTGGGCAGAGAGTATAGACCTCGTCGATTTGGTGCCAATCGTTCGTTATCACAAAATCGAGCAGGGAAGGGGGTTGGCCCGGGCGAAATCTGGTGGAAGAGCATAAATGTTGATGCCATGAACCCTCAGTAATAAGGTCTAGAAGGGGTTGACCAAAGAGGGGATCATTGGAGCTAGTCCAAACCCATTCTATGGATAAAGCGTTGAAATCACCGGTTAAGAGAACGTGTGTAGAGGGGCAGTAGGATCGAAGATAGCGAAGTTGGTTTAGAAGGGCCTGTGCCTGTGTTTGGTCGCGGGTTGGGGAGCGATAGACGACATCTAGTAA